TAAATTCTATATTAGTTGATGATGGTGAAGTCGGATGCCTTAGACTTTTAATTCTTGGTGTTACTCAAAGTTAATTTAGTTTTTCTTTAACTAGTTTAGTTATTTAATTTATTCAAATCATTTAATTTCAATTGTTCAAATAAAATTAGAATTTATTAATTTTGGTACTTAATTAGTCTACGGTCTCTGTGGGACGATTCTCTATTTTCATCATTATATTACTTGAACAGACTAGTACACTTGCTAGAGTGGAATTAGCTCATTAACCATTTCTCAGATGTTTAATGCGCAATAAGGCGAGGATCATGAAGAAGAATGCTCTTGTCATATAGTAGCATATTATTTATTATATAAAATCCTTCACTAAGGATATTTCTAGTCAATAATAAAGGTAGATGTGAAGGAATATGATAAAAGATGTGACAAATGTTAGAGGTTTCCATAAACTTAACATCAACCATCAAATCCTTTACATGTAAAGTTGTGGCCAAAACAACAAAAGAAGAAACCAAAGAATTTGAAGGAATACACATTATACACAGTTTCAAAGTACTAAAGACCCTTGTCATGAACCATGGAACTCAAATTGCTGGCAAAGCTTTTAAAGACTTCTAACCGAACATAGAATTTGGAAAGAAGAAAATCATGTTCAAAGCACAGCTTGAAAACAATGGAAAAACAATCAAACAAATTGAGCAAAGGTCTACTTCAATAGCGTGGCTACAAAATAAGCTATACTAGAAAGTCTAAAGGAAAAAGTATGAAAAGCAAAATGTGCATGGACAAAGGAATTATCTTGCACCTTATGGTTAATAGAACTATTCATCACACACTTATAGGTGAAACTTCATTCAACCTGACATATGAAATAAAAGCTATGATACTAGATACCAGAATCCTAACTCATAGGACAAGCCATTATGATGAAGGCACAAATAAATAAGCTATGATAGCACATTTAAACCTACCAGAAGAAATCAAAGATTTTTCACAAGTGGAAATGGTGAATTATCATATGAGAATAAAAAGATACTATAGTTACAAAGTAAAACCCAAAAGATTTGCACCAAAAAGATTGGGTATTGCGAAAGACAAGGTTTTAGAAAAAAAATTCCAAAGAAGGAAAGTTGTGCCTAAACTAAGAAGGTTTATACCTTTGCAAGGAAAATTTGAGAAACAAAGCTTTCAAGCCTAATCATCCCAATGGAACCTTAGTTCTAACAACCTAAAATGTTGTGCACCTTAAAAGCAAAGATTCATTTTACATTGCTAAAAACCACTTCTAAGTGGAACATAGCTTTAAGAATAAGATCTTGGCTGTACATATCTTTGCTCACTTGTACGCAACATATTGCTTTAGAATCACTTTTAAGTGATCCAAAGCTTTAAACACCAAACATGGTGAAAAGAATAAGAATGCATGAAACTGTGGAGCTATTCTTAAAGCTTTGAAATTTGGATAAGGTTAGTTAACTCAAAATTTTGAGAAAAAACTAACTAGAATATGCTTAAGTGAACTAAAAGTTGTAGGCAAGTTAGGGTGTATACAAGCACCTGGGAAAAAGCTACGCAAGTGAGGATATGAAGGTTAATGTAATTCTCAAATACAGGAGAGACTTGCAACGTAAACCCATAGTAACTAATTGGGTTGTAAAGTTGTGTCCTAACCTATCTTTTATATAAGAAAATAGAGGACATGGCATATACTAACTGATCGTTAAATTATGGATCCTTATTGACGAATGAGGATACCTTCACCATAAGAAACTATGATGGCCTATAAGATTGATAGAAAGTTACGCATAGTTTCAAAAACTATAATTTGGTTATACTTAGTTTTAGAATATCAGTAGGCAAGTAAACCAACCAAATACATAGGTTCTGGTATAGTTTCAATGGAGTCTCAATGCCGGGTGTGACCAAAACTCGAGTTAGAAATAGAGCATCTGTTTAGCAAGCAAATGTTCTTAAAACACAAAACCAATGCACTACAAAATATTAACTATAAGAACATAGATATATATATAGAGAAAGAGAGAGAGATTCAAATATAAAAAAACAAAAATAAAACATCCATAATAGATAGAGAGACATTAAAACAATGCAACCCTAATGTTTCTCCAAAAATGAATGTTCTTATATGCAAGTTCAACAAGAGGTCTAAAAAGCTAAGCATTCAGAGAAGGAGGGGCAACTTGAGAAATCTTCGCATCAATAGAACTACCTCTACTATGAATAGCTATAGTAGAATCCTCTGTGTCCCAACAACTGCTCGATCTTTCCTTTACTTCAACCAGAGATTTGCCCAAAGGAACATGTGCAAGACCTTGATCATAAACTTTCTTCAACTTTGGATCAACTTAAACCTCCGCAACAACATCAATGCTTTCAAATTTAGCAAGGTCCTAATAGTAAAAAAAGTAAAAGCCTGTAAAGAAGAAACTTACGCCTTTAGTTCAAAAATAGAACTTTTGAAAGCAAAATTCTTCAAAGCTAGCTCACTCAATTACTATTGAAGAGAAGAATTTAAAGATTCAAAAGACATCTTCTTAATAAAGGTAGCAAAAGAGATAAGTTCTTTCTTCTTCTTTAACAAATCACAACATTCTTAAACCATAGATAATTCTTTTTTTCAATCTCTCAGTTTTGACTAAACTTGACCTTAACACAACTTTTTTCTCAGTGTTAAGTCTTTTAGAATATAGTTGACGGCACAGGTTTATCACACCTTTGCTTTTCCCTTGAATCCCAACAAGATCAACCTTAGCACACAAGTAGCAGAGATTTAGAATACTTATAAGTTACAAAGCTTTAGCTTAAAACAAATGAATCATCGGAATTAGCATCATAAACTTGTGCAAATTCGAAGAAAGGGTAAAGTTACGTTGAAAAAGTGAAAAAAGGAAAAGGTAGAATAGTGAAAAAGCTAAAGGCACAGACTCAATCAACCTTTACACTAAATATCAAAGTTTTTCTTAAAATGAGACGGAACTTTAACATTACTTTGAGGCAATGGTACCAATAGCAGAGAAATTACAAAGCTTCTACTGATGAATAATTATAGAAATCTTTATCATCAACACACCTATCCACTTGATGTAACATCTTTGAAAATATCAAGCACATCTCTATTTAGAACTTATTCTTTATAAAGATTCTTCTGACAAAGCTATTGCCACCTTAAACCTTCATCAAGGTCTCCCAAAGCTGTGTTCTTGTTAGACAACTTACTAACCTACTTTTGGTGTGAAGCTTTAGTGATATTTGAAGATCTTTCATCAAACATCTAATTTTAGCAACATCAAGAGGAAGATTACTGTAACGCTATGAAGTTTGATAAAAGCTCTACATAAAAACTCTTAACACAAAGGATAGAGACCTAGAACTTTCAAAAGCTAGAGAGATATATGATTGACATAATTAAAGCTGAAGAGATGGAAAAAACGTAGATTCTATAAACGTCCATGGAAAGCATGAATAATGAAGATAGTTCTCAATTTGTTGGAGGGCAAACAAGAGAAGAAATAAATAAAAGATCTTAACCAACAGAAAGCTTTACAACCATTAGCTTTCAAAAGAACTATGTAGTTAAAGAATGTAAATCAAGAAATTGCCATAGAATAGTCAAATAAGACACATCTTTTTGAAAAATTATGTAAGAAGATTAAAGTGAATGACATTAGGAAGCTTTAGATTACATAGCTTTAAAAGAAACAAAGTGTGATACAAGCAATAAGGAATAGAATTAAAGCAAGACATCCTAAAAGATGAAGAGAAAACATTATCTTTAGTAAACGAAAGAATCTTGAAGATCTACATCAATCATGGACAAGAACTGAAATGTCCACTCAACATTGAACTTTGAAGATAATAAAGACAAAAAGACAAGCTGTAGAAAGGTTGATAGATGAAGGAATCACAAAACCTGTGTAAAATGTAGAAGATTTATAAGACACTTAGTTTTCATAGGGATTTTAATCAAAGGTGCATCAAATGCTATGAGTATGGGGGAAAACCTATACTGTACTCTTTTTCCCTTAAGCTAGATTTTTATTCCACAGGGTTTTTACTAATTAATGTTTTCAACAAGGCAGTCATCGTTGGAAACGAAACCTCTACCATGAAGGTTCAGAATCTTTGAAATAGATAAACCAAAAACTGTGAACAATAGAGGTTTTAAACTTTGTCTTCACTTACGAAAGTGAATGGCTTTGCACAAAGCTTTGCTAGAAAAACCTGTTGAAAACTCAAAACCAAGTACAACAAAACTTTATGAGAGAAAGCTACCTATTATGAAACCTATGTTGGAATAAAA